TCAATCCCTGCCCTACATCCCTAGTCCTTGGCAATTCATAATCTACTTTCTGTTTCTGACTCTATAATTTTTTTCTGACTCTATAATTTTAATTTTGTTTCTGAATATATACAAATGGAATTATGAAGAATCACAAATGGTATCATAGAGTATCTTCTGTGTCCTGCTGCTTCTTCTTAGGATGATACTTTTGAGGCCGATCCATGCTGGTGCATATATTGCTGCTGAGTTTCCACTGCTTGTTATACCACAAGATGGTTTGGGGTTTGGGTGGTTTTTTTATTCATTTACTAGTTGATTGGCATTTGGGTCATTTTGGTTTTGGCAATAAAATGACCAAATCAGCTATTAACATTCATGCACAAATCCTTGTTTGACATGTTTTCCTTTTCTCTGGGGTAATAAATACATGACAGTAAGATGGTTGAGTATTGTGGGACTTGGATAGCAACTTTATAAGGAATGGCCAATCTATTTTCCAAAATATTTATACCATTTTACGTTTTCATCACCAGTGTATGAGAGCTTGAGTTGTTCCTTATTCTTGCTGACCCTCTGTATGTTCAAACTTCTTAATTTAAGTCATTCTAATATATCATGGTTTTAATATGTTGGGTTGTCTTATGAATAGGTGGTAAGAGTTCTACACACACACCACCCACATTTCTTCTTTCCTCCCTCAAAATCTATCTTTCTTTCATTCTGTCTTTGCCTCCGTGCTCTGAATCGTGCACTACCTCACCCACCCGTGCCTCCTATCCCTTCTTCCCCCTTCTCTTTCTTCTCCACTCATGTTCTTCTTGCTCTCCTCCAGGACACCAAGAAACTTGAAAATCTTGCCTCTTTTCACATTCCATATTGAAACAACTCTATCACAGATTCCATTCCTAACCAGGATGAGTCTTCCGTAGGGGAAAGACCTCTTACCTAGATGCAAACCCAGAGACAGAGTAAGACAGAGCCAGTTATGGATGGAGGGATGGCTTTGCATGCTGACACTGTCTTCCTCTCTGACTAAAAGTGTTTATGGATTGAAGGCACTTTCACTGTAACATAACATTTGAAAGTCACGGGTACTACGTGATATTCATCCTGCTTAATCAGTAGTCCAGCCATGTCCACAAACATAAGATTAGTTGTCCACATAATAGACTCTCCTTTGGCACATCTCCCAGCAGCAATTTACCTTACCTATGACTAGGGAGGGAGCAGCCTAGCCCAAAGCCAGCCTCTATTCAATTCTGTTTCAGAGAGTCAGTGTGACCATATTTTCTTACAAAGTTCAAAATGCTTTTATGCAGTGGTAGAGTACCCCTGATGTGTAATCTTATTTAACAGCTTTATTGAAATTTCATTAACAGACTATACAATTTACCTATTTAAAGTCTCCATTCAGTGGTTTTATAACCATTGCCAGAGTCCACTTTGGAATACTTCATCACCTTAAAATGTAGGGCTGGGCTCAGAGCAATTATGCACAGAGTCGCTGTGAGTTGCAGGCAACTCGACTGCACATAACAACAACAACAACAAAAACAACACTTTAGTTATCATTTTCCAACTCTCCTATTCTCTTGGCCCTTGAAAACAATTCCTCTATATTCTTGGCCCCTGAAAATCACTATTCTCTGTATTGTGGTGGTGGTGTTATGGGCACATGCTATGGAGCCAACCCCCATTCATAGTGACCCTATATACAACAGATCAAAATCTTGCCAAGACTTATACAATCCTCATTATCTCCACTGTGTAGCACTGGATCAATCTATTTTATTGAAGGTCTTTCTCATTTTTGCTTTCCCTACATCTTTCAAAGAATGATGCTTTTTCCAAGGACTGGCCCCTCCTGGCAACATTCCCAAAGTATGTGGGAAGTTTCACTGTTCTATAAAGAAAGCCCTAGTGGCTCCTCCTCCAAGATAGATTTGTTTGTTCCTTTGAAACTCCATCGTGTATCAATACTCTTCTTTAAGACCACAGATCAAAGGCATCAGTTCTTTGGTCTTCGTTACTCCTTGTCCAATTTTAACATGTATATGAAGTCATTTAAAATCAAGGTTTGACTGAGTCAGATACACCTTACTCTTCAGTGCTATCCTTGCTCTGTAACACTTTAAAGAGGTCTTTGAGAACTGATATGCCTACTGCAGTATGACATTTGATTTCTTGACTGCCGTTACCATGGGTTTTGATTGCGGATACAAGTAAAATGAACTCATTGACAATTTCAATATTTTCTCCACCTATTCTGATGTCACCTATTGGTCAAGTTGTGAGAATTTTGTATTTCTTATGTCGAGCTTCAATCCATACTGAAGGCTGTCTTTGATGTTCTTCTGTTCATGCTTTAAGTACTGTTCACTTTCAGCACACATGGTGGCATTTTCTGTACATTGTAAGTTGTTGATGAGTTCTCCAATCCTGATGCTGCATTCTTCATCTAGTCCAGTTTCTCAGATTATTTGATCATCACACAGATGAAGTAAACATGGCAAAAGAATACAACTCTGATATACTTCTCTTTTCTCTCAGATTTGCCTATTCTGGACATTTTCTATAAATGCAATTATATAATATGTCATTTTCTGTGACTAAGCTTTTTTCACTTAGAATAATTTTTCAAGGTTCATCTATCTTGTATCACTTGTCAGTATTTTATTTCTTTTTTAGCTGAAAAATATGTCATTGTATGGATATGTCACATTTGTTTATTCATTCATAAATTAATAGACATTAGGTTATTAGTAATGCTGTTATAACTATTTACTACATATTTTTATTACATAATTATGTCTTTTATATGTTTATGTCTTTGTGTAGACACCCATTCTCCTTTGAGGAGTAGAGTGTATAACAAGAAGTAGAATTGCTGTGTTGTGTGGTAGTTCTATGTTTAATCTTTTTAAAAACTGTTATACTATTTCCCCAAGGGATTGTACCATTTTATATTCCTCCCACCAATGGATGAGGCCTTTTATTTCTCTATTATTTTCATCAAAACCTGTTATTTTTATGACCAGAAAGATTTCCTGATCCAAATTGTGACACAAACATACACAATATCAAACACATTTAAAGAACCATTGAAACAGATATCCACACAAGAGTACATAAGCCTGCATGCCCATGAATAACTCCAGAGTTTACACACATACTCATAGGCATCCCCCATATAGACATAAACAACCGCACATGCATACAGACATATATAGTTTACAGACCCCGATGTGTGGACATAACATATTTGTGACCGTCACAAATACACACACAGTTGTTACATGTTTTGAACATGCATATTTTCACACAGAACCAGAGACATTTTCACAGAGAAACCGGTATATTTTCACACAGAACCAGTGACACAAGCATTAAGACATGCATTCATACCTGCATAAATACACATGTGTAAATGATAGAGCATGAAAAGACATAGATAAATGATTACCATCACTTATGAGTGGATATCTGACAACAGAGTAAACATATTCATGCAGGATGACATGAAGGTGGCTGAGGTCTCATCAATTGGTGTAGGGACTAGGAAGACCTTTTCTTTAATTTATTCTTTAAAGTACAAGTACATATTGAACACACATGAAATACAGTGAACAAGATTAAAATGTTCACTGCCCTCGTGGAAATTAGTCTACTTGAAGGAGAAGAATAAACAAGAATCTCAGCCTGTGATATGTGCCTAGAAGGACATAAACAAGATTATACGTGCAATACAGGGCTCTGGTTGTATAGTCCATAGGGAGTTGTACTAATGCTGACCCAAAGGCTCACTTCTCTGGTGGCTGGAATCCACCAGCCCACTCCTCAGAAGAAATGTGGACAGTCTCCTTCCATGTGAATTACAGCCTCAGAAACCCAGCTTTGAGCTCGTTCCAACGCACAGACAATGAGTGAGTGAGTGGAATAATATGTTCAATAATAGGCAAGATCCCAGGATGGTAAGTGAGAAAACAGCCAGCTTCCAGAAGTTTTTGTTTTTTTTTCAATTGTTGTTCCTTTTTTTCAGTCTACAAAAGTGAAAGGGATTCAGCTATCTTCTGTAAGTCATTAGGCCAGTTATCATGGTCATTTGTGGGTGTGGTATTAAGAGTAGTAGTTAATAAGAAGTTGTTGTTGTTAATAATAAGTTAATACTAAGTCGTTGTTGTTGTTAAATGTCATTAAGTCAAGTACTACTCCTAGCGACCAACCTAACCAACCCTGTGAACAACAGATCTGAACCCTGTCCTACCCTGTGCAACCCTCATCGTATCTGATACACTCAAGCCCATTGCTGCAGTCACCGTGTCAATGCACCTACCTGGTTGAGGGTCTTTTTTCTCTTTTGCCATCCCTCTACCTTTCCAAGCATGATGTCCTTCTCCAATGACTAGCTACTCTTAGCAACATCCCCAAAGTAGGTGAGGTGAAGTTTAGTCACCTTTACCTCCAGGGAGCACTCTGGCTGCGCCCTCTCCAAGACATATTTGTGTGTTCTTTTGGCTGTCCGTGGGATATTTAATGTTTGACCGCCTAGTTAAACTTTTCTTGTTTTACACTACTTGAATTATTTTTTCCCCCCAATTTCTTACTTGGAAATAAGGAAAATGTTTATAATTTACATCTGCCTGACAAACATTAAACTTTCATTTTAGCCATATCACTTTCCAAGATTCCAAAATGTTTTCTTAAGCAAGAGGAACACTTTGGGGGTCGAGGCAGACCGAGTTGGAGCAAGCAGCATGCCAGTTTCTAGTTGACTACATTGGACAGGTCATCATTCCCAGCGTTGTCTGAGGAGTGCTTTGGATCATGGTCCTGACCTGCCACATCCTTTCCACTCTGCCTACAACCACAAACCATGGGGAAGCAGCATGATGGGTGGGGCTGGGCGTGTCACTTGATTTCCCGCTGCATCAGCTCTTCTGCAGCAGCTCTGGACACTGTGGGTCTGGCTTCCGAAGCTCACTGGCTCTGGATGTCTTTGTTTCTGTGTGTTTGTATAGGTCAGCACTTACCACCCTGCACCTGCATCCCCAGGACATTCCACGGCCATCGTCAGTCTGCCCAGTTCTCAGCAACACCTCTCAGCCAACATGTGAGTACTAAGCGCCCCTTCCACTCCTAGTTCTGGTGCAGGTCATCTTTGCCATCCCTCTGCCAGGAAGCACCACTCTTCAGCCACGTCATCCAGAGAAACAACAGCTCCCCTTCCTTTACTACGCCTGAGAGAAATAGTGAAAAACATCAATTAGCATGCCACATAGTCCTGTCTTCTTTTCACGGTAGAAAAGCCTTGGAAGATTAGGTGCTGAGACATTGCTGGGAGATGGGATATTGGGCAATTTTGCCTTGTTTTGCATTCAAAATGGTGGTTCGTAAATAGGTCTTGCTTTATAATCAGAGAAAAACAAAACATTGCAAGGGAAATGGAGGGGTAAAGCCTTGAAGATAAAAACACTCCTCCAGCCCTTTTGATGAAACATTGCAGCTTCATAATCCTTACGAGTCTAAAAGAGCTTCATGATATCTAGCTTAAGAGAAAGATTCTGGTAACCTCCAACTGGCATGCCAAAATGCATTCTTTTTTTAATACCATTAAGCAAATCTATCTTGTATGGTACTCTTAACCACTAGCAATACTTGCATGCTATTTCAATGATTACAAGGCAAATTTAGAGCAGAAGACGCCCTGGTCTAACCTGAGGAAATTGTTTGCCATTTTATAAACCCAAACTGCTCCTTCCCATCAAACTTCAAAATGCATTTTCTAGTCGGAACCAGCTCATAGCTGCCTGAGACTGTAAATCAATTGCTTCGGAGGAGGTTGCTCACCTTTCTCCAGAGGAGCCTCTTGCTCGGCCTTTGGGTTAGCAGCAAACCCCCTGCAGAGAAAGCCACCAGTGGTTCCTACCCCTGCCTTCCCATCAGGCAGCCAGTACTCATGTGCAGGCAGGAATTAAAAACAACCAACCATCAGCCCTCCCTCCAACTTCCCAATGGGAACTTCCCACCATCATCCACCATTTCTAAAGTCTAACCTGTCTCTGTCCTCAGAGATCCTACTATCTGACTTCCTATTCCCCTAAACCTTGCCAGCAGCAACCATTGTCTTATTGTTGTTGTTGATTGCCTTCCAGTTGAGCATGACTCATAGCTGACTCATAGTGACCCCGTGACCAAAAGCCTGAAGCCCCTCTACAACCTTTGAAATGTATCAAAGATCACAGAGTGTCCAGCAGGAGTGGCATCCACTTCCTAAACAACATGCCTCTGGAAACTCTGTGATCTTTGATTGTCTTAAATGATACTCAAAGATGTAGTGAAAAAAGCCACCTAGTTAAAGCCATTACTTCTTGGGTTAAAACCTCACTGTGCCACTAATTCCTGGTGGCCAACTCACCTATCTGCTCTAAGCCTGTTTTCCTGTTGTTAAAATGTCAAAGTTGGCCTCAGTTGGTTATTTGAGCTGTGTCTCACCCTATGGAGAAGGAAGAGACAGGAAAAGAGTCAGCATCTGAGTTATCTCCACCAGGCTGAGCCTTAATTCTCAAAGATTTTTAAAGGCTTTTGTTGGCAACCAGTGGTTCTGGGGTTCTATCTCTCGTTGCCACTCTCTGCCTCTACGCCCTACTGCACAGCTTGACCTTCTCCCCTCACCATCTCCCTCTGTTGCCCTAGGTTTGTAGCCCTGCACTCCTATTCAGCCCATGGGCCTGATGAGCTGGACCTGCAGAAGGGAGAAGGCATCAGAGTCCTGGGGAAATACCAGGATGGCTGGCTCAGAGGTGTCTCCTTGGTCACTGGGCGAGTTGGCATCTTCCCAAACAACTATGTCATCCCAATTTTCAGGTGCGTCCTCTTCAATCTCATCATCAGAAAGTTGGGTCATCTGGGGCCAGGGACCATCTCTAAGTTGAACTGATGAAGAATACAAGATTTATTTTAGTATGAACCAAGAAACAGTTTTTGCTCTTATGCCCTTTTAATTATAAACCAATTTCTAAATAAATAAAATTAAAAATAGTATAGTTCTTTACAGTTTACAAACATCTTTAATTCTTTGGTTAAGCCCAAAATTTTACCACCACCCACTTACTTCCCAGCTCCACCCTCCACCAGGATAACCCTTCTCATCTACCAAGTCCCTTCAGAAAATATCTTCCATTGTCCAACCCATGATCTGACAGTTTGTATCTTAAGCTTTCTTGGCTTCTGTGATTCCAAAAACGTTGACTGCTGACATTTTTCTTTTGACCAGTGTCTCTTAAGTTTAGTTGTGCTGTCTCCAAGGGAAGGTGACGTGTCCTGTAGAACTTCTGTGTAGATTATGTTTCCCCTTCTGGCCCGAGGGCCACTGAAACTGAGGAGGACCTCATGCACTTGCTGCGAAGGGTCAAGGACTGCAGCCTTCAGTATGGACTAAGGCCCAACGTCAAGAAGACAAAGATTCTCGCCACTGGATCAATTGGCAGTGTCAGGATGGATGACGAAGAGATTGAGAGTGTTCACAGCTTCACTTTGCTCGGCTCCACAGTCAACAGTCTTGGTACCAGCAGTCAGGAAATCAAAAAGCGTATCGGGATGGGAAAGTCTGCCGTTAGGGACCTCTCAAAGGTACTCAGGAGCAACAGTGTCTCTCTGGAGACTAAGGTTCGCCTGATGCAGGTCATGGTATTTGCAATCGCTTGTTATGCATCAGAGAGTTGGACAATGACTAGGGAGGACAGAAGGAGAGTGGATGCTTTTGAGCTGTGGTGCTGGAGAAGGGTACTGAATGTACCATGGACTGCCAGGAAAACAAACAGATTCATCTTGGAGAGGATTAAACCAAGCTGCCCCTTGGAGGCAAGGATTCTGGGGCTTCGTCTGACATACTTTGGACATGTTGTCAGGAGGGACGGGTCCTTGGAGAGGGACATCATGCTTGGGAGGGTAGAGGGACAGCGCAGGAGGGGAAGACCCTCTATGAGATGGATTGATTTGGTGACTGGGGTAATCGGGATGGGTGTGTCAGAGGCGGTGCGGTTGGCGCAGGATAGAGCAGGGTTTAGAGCTGTTGTGCATAGGGTCGCTATGAGTCGGAAACGACTTGATGGCACATAACAACAACAACAAGCCCAAAATCTTAGCTGAAAGCAGGGAATACCAGAGGAATGTATATCTGTGTTTCATTGATTATGCAAAGGCTGTGTTTGACTCTGTGGATCATAACAAACTGCGGCTGACTCTGAGAAGAATGGGAATCCCAGAACACTTGATCATTCGAATGTGAAACCTATACTTGGACCAGGAGGCAGTTGTCAGAATAGAGCAAGGCAACACTGCATGGTTCAAAATTGGGAAGGGCGTATGCCAGGGATGCATCCTATCTCCATACCTTTTCAACCTATATGCAGAACAGATTATCCAGGAGGCTGGGCTTTATTAGGAGAAATGTGGGGTCAGCATTGGTGGAAGATCTGTCAACAATCTGTGTTATGCAGATGACACAACCTTGCTTACTTTAACTGAAGAGGACCTGAAAAACTTGCTGCAGAGGGTCAAGGACTGCAGCCTCCAATATGGATTGAGGCTCAATGTCAGGAAGACAAAGATTCTCACCACTAGGCCAATTAGCAGCATCAGGATGGATGGTGAAGAGATTGAGATTGTTCACAGCTTTAGTTTGCTCGGCTCCACAGTCAACACTCTTGGCACCAGCAGCCAGGAAATTTTTTTTTAATGATTAATAGAAGATTTATTTAAACAATAATACACAGTCATCTCTGTCTCACTTAATATGAGATGTTAAATGGTCATTCCCATTTTCCTTCCTGGATAAGTTTTTCTTTTCTATCTCTCTCGGTTTTGAAAACGTAGTACCAGAAGAAGAGGGGCCCAAGGCCAAACACAGCTCCTGTGAGAGCGAGCTTGGGAGTGGGCCTGAAATTGGGATATATGTTTGCTGATCTTGCATATGTCCAATGAGTCAAGGCAAGATCTTCAATGATCGTGTTCCGGTTGGGGTCATTGAGCTGAAGCAGATACTCCCATTTAAGCCAGGATCTAATGGCCAGCCGCTAGGCTTGAGCCCGCCAGGTCTCTAGAGAGATGTTGTATTCAGCAGCCAGGAAATTAAAAGACGTATTGCCATGGGAAAGTCTGCTGTTAGGGACCTCTCCAAAGTACTGAAGAGCAATGGTATCTCTCTAGAGACTAAGGTGCGTCTGATACAGGCCAGGGTCTTTGCTATCATTTGTTATGCATCAGAGAGTTGGACAATGACCAAGGAGGATAGAAGGAGAATTGATGCCTTTGAGCTGTTGTGCTGGAGAAGAGTATTGAGGGTACCATGGACTGCTAGGAAAACAAACAGATTCATCTTGGAAAGGGTTAAACCGGGTGGCTCCTTGGAGGCAAGGATTCTGAGGCTCTGTCTAACATACTTTGGACATTTTGTAAGGAGGGACTGGTCCTTGGAGAGGGACACATGCTTGATAAGGTGGAGGGACAGCAGGAGGGGAAGGCCCTCTATGAGGTGGATTGATTCAGTGACTGGGGTAATCAGGATGGGAGTGTCAGAGATAGTGTGATTGGCACAGGACAGAGCAGAGTTCAGGGCTGTTGTATACAGGGTCGCTTTGAGTCGCAAGTGACTCGACGGCACATAACGACAACAACAACAAGCCCAAAATCTTGTAAGGTAGATTTTTATTTCCCCCACAGGTGAAGAAACTCATTTTCCTAATTAAGTAACTGGCTCAAGAACTGGATCTCAAATTTTCTATTACACAAACACCAGAAATGATGCTTTGCATCCTCCACCCCAATGCTCCATCTAGTGGCATGATGGGGTAATGCGACGATCAGATGACAGCCCTTGGGAAATTTCTCCATATACTTACTTAGATCACTAGTCATTTTCTACAGACTCTCACTAGACTCAGACCACTATTAACCCATTCATACCCTAGACCAAACACCAATTAGTCTTCATCTCTAACAGCTTCCCCAATCTTTTCCATTCTGTAAGGTCCCTATCCATTTCACTGGCACTCAGTATGTCTGGCCACCTCAACTCACAACCACAAATGCACACAGACTCCCAAAACTATCCATTGATTTCTCCTACGTCCACCCCCTGAACACAGTCAAGACTGTCACAGGGCATTGTCTGTTGCCACAAGTCAGGTAATGTCTTTATGACATACCAGAGGATCACAACTCCCATTGTGAAAGTGGCATTCCCATTGTAGCCTGTCAGGGTCAGAGCTAGAGTCACATATCCAGTTTATTGAACCTCATTTACTCGGGGCACTGTATCCGGAGGAGGGCAACCAGGATGGTGAGGAGACAGCAAATTATCTCATGGGTGAAACAGACGAAGAATCCAGGGTTGTTTAGTTTGCAGAAGACAACGAGTTTGAAAGAATAATAGACTGTCTAAATCTGGACATAGGTTTATTTCAGGAGGGGGCAGAACATGGACTAGTGGATAGAACTTAGAAGAAAAGTTTTCAATAAAAAAGCTGCATTTTCTGATCATTAGATTTGCTTACCCAGACCTGCTGATAAGATAGTGGGCTTCCTTCTCTGGGAAGAGAACAGGGAATTCTGAATCAATCCAGGCTTTTATAAGGCAGTTTTGTCACATAGCAAAAAGCTGGGGTGGAAGATTATAGTTATTCCTTTTGATAAAAGATTCTTGGAATTTGTTACAAAGTTGCACAATTTCCAAAGGCAAACTAAGTTTGTGTCTATTATGGATGCTTTAATTAATTCACTTATTCCACAATTATTTATTGAGCTCAAGCTGTGTGTCAGACACATTTTTGGTCACTGGAGAAACACAAGTGGGGGTAGGCGGGAACTAAAACCCTACCTACAGTAGCTTACATGATGGAAGAAACTGTAAAGATGAGATAGTAGTAAATTACATGATAGTTAATGATAAGTACTAAGGAGAAAAATGGAACAAAAGAGGGATAGAGTGTGTGAGAGTGGTTTGTCAAGGATGGCTTTCCTGAGATGGTGATGAAATGACAAAGGTAAGAAGGAGAGCTTTAAGGATATCTGGGAGAGGAGTTTTCTAAATTAAAGGCAAGCACGTGCAAAGACCCTAAGGTAGAAGTTGCCTGACATGAAGGACAAGAGGAGTGGAGCAGAACAAGTGAGGGAAACTTAGTGGGAAATGAGGTCAGAATTGGAGTAGTTATTCTGTAGCACATAGAATTTTTGTCAGATAATAAAGAAGAATTTGGCAAAAACTCCATTACAGGATTTTGAGCAGAAAAGTAGCTACCATAAATTTTAACCGTAATTGCTCTAATTGCTGGCTTGAGAATAAGCTGTAGAGAGAAAAGGATAGAAGGAGAAAAAACAAGCTCAAGACCGTTTTAATAATCCAAGGAATAGGTGATGATGGTTTGAACCAGGATGTAGTAGTCACAGAGGCAGGAAGAAAGTCTGCATATATTCCCAAGAACATAGAGACAACAGGATTTTCTGATAGATCAAATATCAGATCTGAAAGATTAGAGGAATCAAGGCGAGTGTAAGGTTTTTGCACAGAATCAATAAGACATACATGTTACATTTTCCTGAAAAGGAGATAGGGAAACAAAGGAGCAAGTTTTGAAGTGAGAAGAAATGAAAAGCTTTGTTTGGGACCGGTTAAATCCAAAATCTGTGATAGTAATTTTAGTGATGGTGAGCAGCTGAGTTTGACATTCAGTAGAGGTGTGAGTGTGGATGGTGTGTAAATTTCTCAGAGGTGATGTGTGCATCGTGATAGGACCAATTGTATTGGAGGGAGTGACAGTGAGCCTGGAACGAAAGTCTTCAGGGAATGATGCATGAGACTGAGTGGG